AATGAACCAATGTTTTTTTTTTTTTTTTTAAATGTCAAATATTTTAAAACAAATTCGATTCTAAAACGATACCTCATTCACGTCCCCTCAATTTGTCGAAATCAAGCTCTTGACTTCTTCTTTTTTTCAATTTGAGTATGCTAACTGGTTATAATTAATTTAAATTCGTGTCAAATAAATTTATTAAAGAAGGTAAAATACGTCCTACAAAAAAGTTCGCTAAAAAATACTCTACCTTGTTAATCTCACCACACCATGTAATTCTTTGACTCCATATGTTATGCTCTTATTTTATCAGTTCTTTAAGTGGGAATAGAAAATAGGATGGTTACAATAAGTAAGGTATGTCGTTGATTTGTAGCAATTAGTGAAATAGCGTCGAAGATATTTGGCTTGAAGATTGACTCTACCGACAATTTCACCACAACCAACTGTTAATCCTAAATCCCAACTGATACGGCACTCCAACTTTTCTTTTGTTTATTTAGGTGAGACTCCGACCCCTACATTACCATACTCGTAAATCCCATTAATTCATAGTTTGATACTTCTTATTGTTTAGTCAAGTCATTTTCTCAATATAATATAGGTGTAATTCCTCTTTAACAAAACATACTTCTCCATAATACTTCTCACATTCACAACTGAGTATGTCCGGAAAAGATAAATTGATGTAATCAAAATTTTACTATTCTTCTTTTACCCCTTTAGCAATAAGTTGTTTTATGATTTTGCGAAAAGACGAGTACATTAGGGAGAAAGTTGTAAGAATTAAAAAGATATGGTGCAAATCAGAAAATGATGTATACATTAAGGATACAAAATGCAAAGAATTCTGGTTTTGATGAGCAATTAAAAACCAAAAGATAATACTTATATCTTTTAACTTTGAGTTTGCACAACGAATGAGTTCACTTAGATATTACTGTTTGTAGCATCTTCCCATCCTAATATTTTTTTGCATAAAGTGATGCAAAAATACATTCAAAACTATTAGTCAAATATCTGTTATTTTAATATGAATAACGAAAAATGACGATATTAAAAAAGGGTATATTTTTCAAGTGGAAGGAATTATTACTATCTTTTGTCTATGATCAGTAAAACTTACTAAGAAAGGTAAGTGGATGAAATTTAAAATTCATAAAAGTGCTCCATACTTTGTACCGAAAGTGCATGTCATAATCATTAAAGACCTACCCACCCACTTAATTAATGCATGGAAAATTGGAGAAGCGGGAAATTATGGGAAATTGTAGTGGGCTTGTTTTTTCCTACGAGTATTTGAATACTTGTTCTATATTCTTTGCAAGTGGTATTGCATTTTTGTTGAAGAAAATGCTAAATTCTAGGTGGCCCCTTTTATTAGTCATCTTTTTTATGTGTGAGTCTTGGCGTGTTATGTGTTTAAATTTGTATCTCTATATGTTTTAGATATATGGTTAATGAGAAAAACCCAATTAACCATATTAAAAGAGATGAAGCAAGTATATCAAGTAACAAAGAGATGAAATAATTCTCTTTAGATTAAAGATGTAAAAGAAAGGTTAAAATAGCGCGGGTTAGCCAGTTTTCATACTGGTAATTGAAAAAGGGATTTTTACCTTCATATACACTATTTGAATCCTTATTACCCTCAGTGGCGAAGCTAGAAAATATTTCAATGGTGTTCAAACTTGAACAAGAAAAATAAAAATTGTGGAGATTGAAGCTCGAACCCGCGACCATGAGGCCCTTTTGACCACCCTTTGCCACTGAGCTATGATTCTTCATTGTTTTAAGGGTGTTCAATATGTATTATATGCATGTAAATCCAAAATTTTACCTATATACACTGTGTTAATTTTCCGACATTTTCCGACGAAGGGTGGTCAGTTGACCACCCTTGCTACACTGTAGCTTCGCCCCTGATTACCCTCCCTACTCAAGTTTCAATTTAATTACATGGTCATATACAATTTACCAATTATATACAAATAAGTTTTAAATGAGTATCCCTTTATATTAGGAATTGAATAAAGAATATAATTATTTTCTTATCCCTTTTGTACTTGCCCACTCTCTCTCCGTCTCTCTCTCTCTCTCTCTCTCTCTCTCTCTCTCTCTCTCTCTTGCAAAGCCTGAAGATTCACTTTGCTTTAGTTGGTCATATGTCTCTCTCTCTCGCAAAGCCTGAAGACTCATAAGGAATATCAGTTTATGATTTGAAAAGACGAATGCACAAGGAAGTTAAAATTGCAAAGCTTGAAGATTCACTTCGCTTTAGTTGGGCTATAACATATGCAAAGACTTTAATCTCTCATAATTCTCTGTAAGATTATAAATTTTGAAGGTGTTTGACTCTCCACCATTGACAGCCATTAAAAAGCTTTGAAGCTTTGAAATCGAATTTGGGTTTTCAAAAACCATTATTTATTTGGATTGGGTGTTGTTGCAAACAATTAGGAATATTGTTTGGAGTTTATATCTCAATTTTGAGGGTGTTTTGGTGAAGATTATATTTGATTTTGGCTGAATTTCATATTAAAACTCGAAGTAGAAGAAGAAGAACACATGACATACAATATACTTACGAAATTGTAGTAAAGTTATATTATAATTGTATGTAAATTATATATATATATATATATATATATATATATACACATATTTTTTTATTATTATTTGAATGTTGTATGAAAGTTGAAAAATAGTTGTATAATGTATGAATCATTGTATAAAATTTGTATTTAAGTTATCAATACTATCTTTTTACATAAAGTTGTTGATATGTGTCAAAATTGTCTTAAGAGAGTAAGTTTTGATTGAAATTTTAGAGAGGAAGAAGCACACACCACAAACAAAATATATACAAATCAGATACAAAATATATACAAAAGACATATTGTATAAAATTTGTATAAAAATTATATTTAAGTTGTATGATATTGTAGTTGTATTTAACTGGGTAGAAATAATGTATGAAAGTTGTAAATAAGTTGTATAATATATAATTAGTTGTATGAAATTTAGTTTTACTATGTATGTTGTTGTAGATATTCAAATTTGCATTAAATTTGTACAAAATTTGTTTTAAATTTGTATGTTGATGTACCATATATTGTTCTTAGAGATAGAGATTTTATGTGTTTAGTTTGAATATAAATATGCAATGAAGTTTAGATTCAGTAAAAATTCTCTTTTAGATTGTGCTGATGAATAATTATTGATTCCTTCGGAAACATAATTGTTGTGATTTAGTAGTGTAAGTGTTTTGTAAAATG